ATCTATCCAGGCCTTTCTCTTATGTACAGCAACTGGAAAATAACTGGCCAATGGTTAGTTTTCTATGTTCCAAAAGGTTAGACAGAAAGAGACAAGAGCAGATAATCTTCAGTTTACCCAGTGATAGAAATGGTATTATCTCTATTTTCTAACTGAGAAACCTGAAAATATCCTCTAATGGATATGTCTTGGAGATTCACCTACCAAGAATTTGTGAGGAGCCTGTGTACATTCTGTAAGTTAATCTAGAGCAACTTTTCAAATTCTCCTGCAACAACATAGTTATATACTTAAATGCTAACTCATAAAAGTGTAAGGAAAAATGACTAGAAATTAAAAAACAACTCATAAAATGATTAGCAAATCACAATATATGGTTCTTCAACTAACTGAGAAGAGCATAAAAGGCCAAATGAGCACTTATGGAGATTTTTATGAAAGTCAGGGACATTTACTAGGTGAATGTTAATTAAATTATTGAAGAAAAGCCTTTCCAGAAAGTTATAGGTAACTTAATATTATAATAACTAAAATATGACTAATATTAGACCTGCAATAGCTTCTATACTGCTTCTATACTTCTATACTGTGACCTAGTCACACTGCTCCAATGGTGAGAATTAGACAAGAACCACAAGGTTGAAAACATTCCAAATCTAGGAATCATAGGCATGTAAGATTTGTTTAAGTAGGAGGTCATATGATCAGAAATCTTTACTTAGCATATAGAAAATTTAATTTACATATTAAATTTTATTGATAACAGTAGTAAAATATATACCCATCTTTAGCAGACCAAAAATGATATAACTAATTTTATTCATACAGAAGTGTACAATATGTCTGGTGCTGCTAATTGCTCAGTTTTAAATCAAGTTAATGAGAACATTAAAATGGCCAGAATGAAATGGTGTTGTTATAATATAAAATATCTGTGTGGACCCATTACGATCAATAATAAGAATAATGTTCACCACTTAATCCATAATTCCTGGGTGCTGAGAAATATTTTACATAGATTATCTCATTTTAATCCTCACTTAAACACCATGAGCTAGATGTTCTTAAACCCATTTTACAGATGAAGAGACTGAGATGAGAGATTTGCATAATTTGTTGTAAAGTCACACAGGTAGTAAGTAGCAGAAGTGATCCTGAACTCAGTGTGTCTGGTTCCAGAGCCCATGATCTCACCCCACAATTGCACAGTCATTCATAAGGAGAATCAGAAGATCTATACATTCTGAATTTACACACTGAGACTGGCTCTCAGACTCATAAATTCTGAATTTATATACTGAGATTAATTCTTAGACTCAATACTGGGTACTTTATGAAAGGGCAGGAATTTTACAGTAAGCTGAATGCAATTTTTTCTAAGAGTTGAGCCACACATTTAGAAATTTCATTTGAATTCTAGAGTTTAAATACTTGTCTCCAAAATTCAGGGACACTATAAATGACTGGTGAGCATAATTTTCTTAAATCTCAATAAATTTTTCTTGAAAATGAGACATATTGATAGGGCTGTAGTGTGATTATGTAGACATACCCGAGGTATGTACACCTAAGGAAGAGAAAGCATGTGACTCGTTCCAGAAATCATGACCCATTATCACCATGTCAGTCTTCAAAAGTTGTGATTCCATTTAACTCAGCAAAATTCATTCTATGCTGAAGTTTCCATCTGCTTAATCTGTTCAAATTTTGACACTTTCTAGAATCTATTTTTCTTTCCTTTTGTGAAGTTTTAAGTTCAGCGTATTCAAAAGTCATGTAACATCAGTAAAAAGGTTCCATCTTTATATCACTGGTTGTTCTACTAGCTGTGTCTGTCAGAATCTTTTTTTTTTTTTTTTTTGTCACAATCCTTTTTGATGCCCCAAAGTCATTAACCTGAGGAAGTAGCTTAGTAAATCTTTCTGCTCTAATTCAATCTTCTAAATATCAAATCAAGTGGAGATGATGAAGGGTTCATGCATGAAGGAAAAAAATAGCCTTCTTTCCATCACACTTGATTCATGTTTTATAAAGTTCACAGTAAAAGTTCCGCTGATGCCTACAAGCCAATTAGTTCTTATGTGCAAGGTAATGAGGTATTTAGGGGTAAAACTGCACTGCCTGTGAGTCTGTAACTGTTTGAAAATAAAAAGTTACAAAATAGGCCACTTTTTCCCGAGAGAGGCACATGATGTCACTCATAGAGATTTGATGACTTCTTTAGTTTGAGAATAACTAATACAAAGTGGGAAAAAATTAAAATACACAACTAAAAAAGCCCTTCAATTCATTTTTCTCTCTTGTTTACTCTTATTACCCTCAAAGCCTTATTCTCAATATTGATGCAATGAGACAAATGGATACTGTTTCTGGAAATGTCCAGGTTTTTTCAGGACTGTAAAAAGTTGGTTCGACAATAATTTCCTATTTTCTGGCAATAAAAGACCAGAGAATCACCAATGTTTATCATATCATTTAGAAACTGCAAGATCCTGAAATGCTTCCTGAATGGCCAAAAGAAATGTTAAGTTATTTTGAGCAGTATTTCAATATTGAAGTATTGCTTTCCCCAAACTTTTTAGGAGAATTTTCATGTATCATTTAATAATTTATCCTAAATTCAATAATTATTGATTTTTGCCATATTTTCTTTCTATCTCTCTCTCTCCCAATATGTACACATAGGTATGAACTGTAAGAAAATAAATTTTTGTTGTTTTAAGCCAGTTTGTGGTAGTTTATTACAGCAGCCCTAGGAAACTCACAGATAGATGATAGACAATAGACAGATGATTGAGAGATGATAGATGATAGATAGATAGGTAGATAGATAATAGACTATCTTTCAGACCTCTTCAGTTTAGGTCTAGTCATAAAGTGAGGACTTAAGGAACTATCCATTAAAATAGTATAGTGGCCCAAAGTTGTTAGTTGAACCACATAAAATTGCTATTTTTGTAGAGAATTTTACATGGCTCAACTAATAGATAGATTAAATAAATAACTCAAGTTTTCTAAAACCTCCTTTTCCCCTCAAGACCAGATCCTGGGCTGAATTTGCTAGGACAATACTTCATTTTCCCTGCATCATTTTCCCTCTTTAAACGGATTCTTCAGCTTCATTCATCTCACTTAGATAAGGAGTTTCCGTCTCCACGACCTACATGGAATTAAGCCCTGGAGGCAATTGCTCTTTGAGGTTTTGCCTATTTCACTCATTTACACATCTCTATTCATGGTTTATTCTAGGAGACAATGCTGGGGATTCTGTCTAATTCATGTTCAAAGCTAAGGTTTCTCCAGGGGATTTTTTCTCATTCCATTTGGCACAGCAGTAACTGTGTTTGACAACATCTGCCTTATAGCACTCTCTGCAGCTCCATCTGACACTTGGTTCCCATCCACATTTTCTTCCTGCCTGTCTTCTAAGGAAGATGTTTCCCAACAGAGGTGGAGAAGAGAAGACAGTGAGGGCAAACCAGAGCTTTATTTTCCAATGAATATGAATCATGAACCCACCAAATGTCTTAACCTATCTCTTATTCCAATTCATCCAAAGACTTTTAATATAAATCAATTCTTGCTAAGACAGCCCTTTGTCCTTTGGGACTCTGAGCATTTACAAGTGACTTCTGGATGTTTATTTTTCTATATTTTCATATATCTAACCCCTTTTAAACTTTCCTCAAAAGTGAAAAAAAAAAATTCACAAATTTGACTGGCAATTTTTTTAACCAGTAAAAAGAATACAACCAAGCCCAAAACTATCTTGTAATTACTCCTTCTAAAGTAGGTCAATTTATTTTCATAAAAAGTATATATATTTAACAGGAAATTCTATTTAATAAAATGTTTAATAATCCTCAGTTCAAATAAATTTTATGACTAATGGAAACTAATTTAAGAGAAAATTCCAAATCTTACGAATCAAAAGATCCCTCTACATTCTGGGATAACTTAAATCATTGCCTACACCAAATAGGAAATCCAGAATATAGAATTTATTAGTAGCAACCACCATTTAAATTATTATATGTTTCAATTAAACTGTCTTTGTTAGTTTGCTATGGCTTTAAATTCTAACAGATTGTTTCAAAATATCATTCTACTTCTACTCCACTGAAAACCCTGTTATTATTCTCTTCTTCATTATATGAGATTCTAAAATTTTCCTGGGCCAGACAATACATAAACAGCTGGTGATATTAACTGTCTTTAGAAAAAAAAAATCCCTTGGCTTAAAAGAGTTATTATTTGACTTCAAAATTTATGATACTTCTCTTCTCAGCATACTTTACAATTGAGCTCCCAGAAGGACATATATTTCACATATATGTTCACATAAAATTTGATAATGGAAGAATGTGCTATAAAAGAGTATGTTGTCTTTTTGTTATTTTATAAGGGGAAATCATCTGAGGACAGAAAATATATGTAAGGCATTATAATGACAAATACTCTCTGGGGCACAGGGAGTATTACATCGTGCTGGCATTTGTATTTTGAACTTTCAACTGCTGCATTTCTTACTCATTGGAGATAAGTCTAAGTAACTTTTGCCTCCTCAGCTCTCTTACAAGTATAGAGCAAAAAGCAGCAACCTCCAAACAAAAATTTTGCTTGTTGTTCAAATACAAACTTCTTAGATGAGCAGGGTCAGTTCCAGAAACATTTGCATTTGTCCAGTTATATTTTACTGAAGTAAACCCAACGTTTGAAAATCTAGGCATATATGTGTATCCAACAATATGACTGATATACAAAGCAAGGTTCATCTGCCAGCTCTACACATTTTCTTTTCCGTTCTTCTCCCCACAACCACAGCTAATCTGAGATCCAGTCACTTTCAATGTCACACAGTTTCCATCAGACAACAACCCATTTGGTTGGACACTCATAATTGAGCTGCACATAGCAACTCTCTGGCCCTTTGTCCTTTGAATCAGAGCTCCTGGCTTCTCCAAGTCACAGATCCCTATTATAAACTGAAATAAACTTACTGTTTTCTTTAACACTTTGAGAGCATAAGGCTTCTGGGTCCCCTTCTGTTTGCATCTGTACACAATGGATGTAGCTCCCCTTGAAGGGAAAAAGACAAAAGGAAGTCGTTATGCTCTGGACAGGAAATAAAGGAAAAAGCTTGAAAATAAGTATCTTTTGCAGTTACTCCAATGATTGACAAGTGTTTATAAGTTCTACTATAGGACCAGCCCACCTGTCAAGAGTACTTTTCCTCTTGCAACTGAATATAGTTTGCTCAGAAAAATTCTAGGTTTTCCAGGCTGCTTTTTTCCTTTGCCCCATCCCACTACAAGTGGCAATATACCTTGGGCTGTTGCAGTCAGTGGCTCTAGGGTAAACCAGGCCCTTAGGTGAAAAAGTATGTGAAAAATATCCACCTGACTTCAGAATTCCCGAATTTTCCTAAAAATATGTGTCTGGAGTAAAATAAGGCACATGGCTTAAGGGAGAGGGTTTAAGTTTAGCCCTCGGCTGTAAGGATCAGGACAGTCTCCACTACTTGACAGGGGAGCTGGGACCCTTGAGAATTTACAGCACTTCATTTGGTGCCTTAGCATTCTCCCAAAGTCAATGTTAGCCCCATAGAGATTCTGGCGCCATCATCTTGGTGAATACTGCTACCACTTATTTACATACGCCCCAACGAAAAGAATTATGTGAAATGTTCAGGGGAAAAATACTAAAACATGGTTAAAGATATACAGAGGAAAGTAGATGTACCCCTCTATAAAAAAACTTGAAGTACAGAACGTTTTTTACCCATATAAGAGAATAGTAAGAAGGTACTCAGTGACTAACTTCCTATCCGTGCAAGGTACAAAAGGAGAATATTAAAAAGCAGGACAGTGTGGTCCTGATGCTCCCTCTCCACACATGAGAGCAAGAGAACAAGACAGACAAAAAGGCTCACAGACCAAGAAGGCTTTAGTTTCAACTTCAGAAGGAGAACTTTAGACAAATCTTAAAATAAGATCAGTAGAAGTAAATCTGTCAGACTTTGAATATGAAGCCAAAGGAACTCTTATGATATACTCAGTCCTACGGTTCTAAAATTTTAAGTAAGCACAAAAAAATTATACAAAATCAAACATATTCCCAGCTGCCCAAACACAACAAATTTTTAACAGAACCAGGAGTCAGGAACTGAAGTTGTAAATGCTAATAGAGTTAAAAAATTTAAACACATTTTTAAAAACTTTGGTAAGATAACAACATGGATGCATCTAGAGGATATTATTCTAAGTGAAATAAGTCAGACAGAGAAAGAGAAATACCATATGATTTTACTTATATGTGGAATCTAAAACAGAATAAATGAACAAATGAAACAGAAACGAACACATAGAGAACATTTTGATGGTTGACAGATGGAAAGGGGTCTAGGGGTGAAAAAGAGGAAGAGATTAAGAAGTACACATTGGTAGTTACAAAACAGTCACAAGGATGTGAAATACAGCACAAGGAATAATCAATAATATTGCAATAACTATATGTGGTGCCAGGTGAGTATGAGACTTATTGGGGTGAACACTTCATAAGGTATGTGAATGTCTAATCACTATGTTGTATACTAAAACTAATATAGTATTGTATGTCAACTGTAATTTAAAAATTAAGAATTATTTAAAAAAAAAACCTGCAAACAACTTCAATATTCCTCAACTGAGAAATGAATTAACAACCTATCCATACAGCGGAAGACTACGCAGAAATAAAAAGGAATTAACTAGGGTACACATAATAACTTAAATTATTTTCTAATATAATATCCTAAATGAAAGAAGCTAGGTGCAGAAGGCTACATACTGTATGATTCCATTTATATAATATTCTTTTAAGGACAAAAATATAGGCATAGAAAATACATCAAGGGTTACTGGAGGCTCAGAGGTGTGGGGGAAATTTTAGCATGATAAAATTGTTCAATATCTTGATCGTGATGGTGTTTACACAACTATAGGTAGATAGCTGTCAAAATAGGTAGGATTGTTAATAAAATCTATGAAATTTAATGTATATGTATTTATTATAACAAAAAAATACTGTAAAAAATCTTTCCAAGAAAACCACATTTTTCAAAGGTAAAATTAAAAACCACATTATAAAAATGTAGTCTATAACATTCAACTTATTCTATTTCTATTTCATGGTAACTGGTGAAATTTTAAAAAAATAAAAGAAAAAAATAAATACAAGGGAAAGTGATTTGCAAGCATCAAAGAAACCCTAAAAATCTATTGGTATTATTCAAGAATTCATGTAAAGGAATATATTAAATAGCATCCATTCCTTAATTTCTTCATCACATTAATTTACCAATAATTTCAATATATAAATCATTGTCTTAAGAAAACCTTTAATTCTTTTTTAACAAAATTCACTCTAGACCGATCAATCTCAGGACACAAGTATGCTAGAATTAACGTTTTATTTTTTTCTTTTTATTTTTTTATATGAGGAATCTATTAAGTCCAATTTTATTTTGCTAAGTAATGGACTTATTAATATTAACAGATCATTAAAAAATTTCCAGCTTTATTGAGAGATAATTGACATGTAACAGTGTAAGTTTAACGTGTACAATGTAATGATTTGATATACATGTATTGCAAAATGATTACCACAATAATGTTAGTTAATGTATCATCACCTCACATAATTACAATTTTAGAAATAACTTTTTAAAGGATGAAAAAATTAAGTTAAAAGAACAGAACAGCTCAAATAAATTTGTATAAAAATAATATTTCAGTAATTTTTCAAAAATATAATCTATATTTTTGCCAAAATTAAATGATTGGCATTTAGCATGTATATATAATTTTAGAAAGGAACCATATTTTCAGTATATTATATAAAAATAAAAATTAATGTGCATATTAACAGCTAATTTTTAATATAGAAAGAACATTGTTATATTGTCGTATCCTCATTTCAAGAATAGATTATATAAAGAAGTGTTCATCTCAATAACGAGAAAATTTTCTGAGATCCAAAGGAAGCAAAGAGATTATAGATTGGAGAATATTATATTCGACTGAGGAAAAAAAGCTTCACTACTCATGTCTGTTCATTTATAACATACAATCTTTAACAAAAAGGCCAAGAAAATATAGAAATTATTCCAGTTAGAATTTTTTTCTGTTATGATTTGATGAGAAAGAAAATCAATACTCCTTGGGAGTCTGAACCTGACTTGTACTTTCACATTGGTTTTCTTGAACAGACATTTTGGAAAAATCGTTTTTTAGCTCTAGCCTTGTCTAATATGACCAGTTATTTTTTAAAAAGTTAAAAATGAAAAGCTAAAAGTGTAGGCTACTATGTTTCATTTTGGAGAAAGAAGAGAAAGTAGTCAAATCTGTAATGTGTTTGAAAAATCATTGTGTACAAGATAATTGTAATACTATGAATATGCTATTTTATATGTATCTATTATATATATACATATTACAGCCACTACTGTAAAGCTGTTAAGAAGCACTTGATGTTGGTACCTGGCACTGTGTGCCAGACTTATGACTGTCGGGGAGAAGCTCGAGATTATGTATTTGCCTGGAGCCGTTTCGAGTTTAGAGTTCTTTGCTCCCACATTTAGGGTTACTTAGTACAAAACAGGGGGCTTTTTATCCTACAGTTCATCTTTACATGTTCCTCATGCCCAGCAGTTAAGGAACAACTATCGTAATTTTTTTCACCTCTCTTATAACACAGATCTTCTCTTTTATTCTTTTCTCCCTCGCCCCTCCCTTTATTTCTTTTCTTTTTCATAATCTCACCTCTTTATTCTCCTCCTTTTCTCTCCTTTCTCGTTCTAAAGAGATTGGTTTAATTTTACTTTTTTTTCCTCCAAAAGAAATTCAAGTGCACTGACACTCCTGTCTACCCATCAGATGGGAGATAGATATCTGAATGCATTCAGAAAGCCAGGTAGAGATCCAATCTGATTTGAAATGGAAGCAGGAAGTCAGAAGTCTGGATTCGCATCAATGTTTGAGGGAATCAGGATGAGTCTGCATAATGTTAAGATAAGTTAGCATCATGGGTATTCTCCCACCAAAGGAGATTATAAATCAGACTGATTTTCTGCAGGGGAGAACTTAGTGGGACATTTGTGATTGCTTGGTTTGAAGCAAAAGAGCTTGGATTCCCCTGCCAGCAAACCTACAATTTGTTCTTTGGAAATGCAAGAGAACTTCAGATACCAAATCTCTTAAAAGATAAAAGTCTGGAGATACAGTTGACTGTTTCTTGGCTCCATCTGTGTCTCTGCAATGGTACACTGCATAGCCATATAAAATTGTCTTTTCTAAAGGTATTAGAAGTTATTGAAGAGTTTCATTTTTTTAAATAGGAAGGGTCATGAAATGGAACCAAAGAATCTTATATTTTTAAAAAATCTAATGTTGAAGTGGCTTGATTAAAGAATATCAAAATATTAATCATTTTAAAACATTTTAGTATATTTCTTGATCTTTTGTTTAGCATTTGATTTTTAATGTTTTTTTTTTCAATGTGTGTATGTGATTGCAGGAAAGAGCCTTCTAATGCTCATTATGAAAAGGTTTAAAAGCAGTGCTATAATTTATAAGAACTGCCAATCATATGTTGAAAACATAATGTGTGCAATTCTACATATCATTATATTTCTTCTACATGATTGACTTATTATTTAATGAGCCTGCTCCTTTCATTGATTTTTTAAATTAGATGAATTATTAAAGAAGACTGGTTATAACCTCAAAATTGATTCTTCTTGAGGGTGAAAGCAGAGTCATATTCAGGAACAAGAGCCTGAAAAAGTCCCTAAGTGTTTAAAGCATGCATTTTGCCCCATTCCAGTAACAGTTTTTCAGTTTCATTCTCCATCTCTGTCAGCCTGCAACTCATCAATACTCTTCAATACTTCAGTGTTTCCAAATGTTCTTTGGTCACTAAAGACAAAAGAAATCTGAACCTTAAACTGACGAAGAACAAAAGGAAAAACTGCTGAAGTAATTTAACTACTGTTTGGCATTTTCAATCTACAACTTGAAGAATGGCTAACCTTTAGAATT